AAGAGAGAGGAATAGAGCAGCTGAGTAAGAGTAAGAGAGCGATACAGACAACAAATGAAGTGATAGTGGAAGGATCAATGCTTCTAGCAGGGGTGCGACTGACTTGAGAAGCTCACCGCTGCCAGATGAGAGAGGAGATCTTACGTCCGTCTGCACGCAGTGAGTAATTGCACTGTATATGTGTATAGGAATATGAAGTGTGACAGTTGTAAGGGGTTTGATGTGTCTGGCATGCAGCGTGAGATTGCAGGGATGGCCGGAGCATCTGGCAGGTGTGCGGTGTATGAACGGTGACATGTAGAATATGCTTTTAGAGAGGAGCAGATTGCCAGGGTCTTCATTAACACATATAGAGGGATGCTGGGAGATTTAATACAGCTCTGAGTGAGTCTGCAAGCAGTACGTGACATTCGTTCACAGCTCATCGTTTACAATTAACTTCCTAATGGGTGACCTACCAACCTCTTTAGTCGTGCTCCGAGCTTCAGTGCTCAGGAATTGACTTGTGAGCTTTTAGTGCTTTATACTTTTCTCCAGCATCACATTTGAGATCGTAGTTCATAATTCATTATAGTTCCTCCTCCTTGTTTGTGCATTTCATCCTGCATCTGCTGTGGTTACCCAGACTTGCCGAAGACAGAGGTAAGATGCTAATGAAACACTGCAGCGTGGCAGAACCCCAGGAGTGAATGGTTTACGTAATTTCACATGGAACTGCAGACCTCTCATTAGCAGACTTTAAATATCTGATTTACTCTCAATCGAACTTCACTCAAGAGGAAAGCAGGGGAAGGGTGGGTTTGAGACAGAGAGGGGTTTCATTTGAGTCTTTAGATGTTAGCAGCCGAGACGAAAAAGATTTCATGTCTTCGTCAAATCGACAATTCATATGTTTAATAATTAATATGTTTAATAAAATACAAATTAGAGATTGAGAGATGTGTATTATGAATTTGTCTTGGAGTTTTTTTCATTAATGTCAACTTAACTTAATGATGCTCTTGTGTAATAGTGATGCACCACTATTAAAATTTGTGGTCATACCATAAACTTAATTATATAAAATTATGATTCTTAATTAAAATAATTATTAAAAACCAATGTCATTTTCATGGTCTGTATTTAAATGTGATACTGTTCTGTCTAATTAGAACGACAAAAAAATACTAAAAACTAAAATTTAAAGGGGTCATATGATGTTGCTAAAAAGCACATTATTTTGTGTATTTGGTGTAATAAAATGTGTTTATGCGGTTTAAGGTTCAAAAACACATTATTTTCCACATACTGTAAAAGGAAAAATTGAAATCGCATCATATGACCCCTTTAAATAAATAAAAAAATTAAATCAATGTGTTTTTAATTGAATAAATGAATTTATGCATCAACAATTTGATGTACAGTATAAAAAAATGGATGTTCATTTTGAGATTTCCGAAAGATATATTTAACATTTTTAAATTCTTGTTTTTAAAGATTAACTTTAAGTGAGCGTTAATAATGGAAACATATCCATATTTATCAATTATGGATACTGATCAATTAGGAAACCTCTACTGTTGGTCAATAACCAATATAATACTAATATATTTTGTGCATCCTTATTCTTTAAAAATCATGACTAGTGTGTTTTTGACAGAAATGTTGAAAATTTTTTCTGGAAAATCTAGCATTATTTTAATGAAGTAAACTTTATTATACTGAACTGCATCAAAAAGAAAAGTCATAATTGAATCTTTGGCACTAATACAATATTAATTGCTTCTCCATAATGTAATGTTTATCAAGACTTTTGAATGTTGTGTTTGAGCATGAAATAATGATTTATATGTAATGCATAATTTCATGGCTGTACTCCAGTAGTGTAGTTTCACAGAACTGTGATGCCTGCAGACTTCAGTGAGGATTTTGTCTGTTTGGTGCATGGAATTGGTTTTTGGGCTGCTCAGCTGCAGGGAGTGAAATAATGATCCCAGTTGTGAATGTAGAGTGTTCCCTCAGCAGTCCAGTGGGAATTTCTTGCCTGTGTGGGAAGAGAATTAGTACATAGGAATTCTAATCACTCCGTACTGTAATAAACCAACCATATTTATGTGTCAGTTTAACAGTACAGTAAGTTACCGCTACATTACAGTAATTCACCACCACACGCTGAGCCTATAATAATCATTTTTTATAGCTAAAGTGGGATATGCACCTCCATGATCCTTTCCTTGAAGTTAATTTAAAGGATGTTCAGTTAATGGAGGATGGTCTAATTAAGGATATCAGCACAAAACCATATGAAACAGCAGAGCTTTTTGAGGATGTGGGTCATTTATCGAGGTTTTCTTTTATCATTTGTTTTGGAGGTGAGCTGGGGTTCATTTAAGGTCTGTGTTCCAGCATTGCCGATCACTCCCACATTACATCACATTCATTATCCACAGCAGAAATCTACGCCACAAGACATCTCTGGATCAGTTAAAGGCAAAAGTTCACTTGATCATCCATATGTGGGTTATAGGGCAATCTGGAGGTTAATTTAAAACAAGACTCAAATGATGGTTTGTGGTAATGCATTATTATGAATGTTAAAAAGCCAAATGGCCATGTCTTAAAAATCTAATTTACCTTTAAAGTAGCTGTCTGGTTTTGATGGATGGCATTGTTAGAGGGGATAGAATATGCAAGCAATGGGGCAGCTGCTGTAGAGCTCAGACTCTGGGTTTATTTCCCACAACAAGCCGTAATAGGCATCACTGAAACTGACATGTGAGATATTGAGAAGTACAAACTGTAAAGTTGACTCTTTGCTTGAGAGATTCATCACAGGTCTCCTTTTGACCTTCTCTTACAAACTACAAAGATATCAGCAGTGCACATTTGAAATCGTTCTCAACTTTAATAACACTATTCCAACCCCTCCTTGATGTCAGTAAGAGGGATTTTCCCAGATATGGATCTTAAGACAAGTCTTTTTGCCAAAAGCAATATAAGCACCAAACATGTCCTGAGGGGCAAAATCAGTCAAGAGTCGCACCACCTTTTTACCAGATGCTAAATGCACTGAAACACTGTGTTAAAATAGAAAAGAAGTCTATTTAAATGGAGAAAAACTATTAGAAACACTAGTTGCTTGGCACATTTAATTCTATTTTTTTATTTAATTTTTAATTTAATTTCATTTTATTTTAACACATTTTATTGACCACAAAGATTTTGAATTGCACTGTGCAAATTCAGTGCTAATTTTATGTGTACATTTGCTCTATTAGCTTATTTGCATAAAATCCCTTAGTGGTTCTGTACCAGGTATTCTTATTCAAATCCCCCCTTAATCTTTTAAGTAATTTTTTATGCAAGTGCAAAATGTGTTTTGTTAGTGTGTTAGCATACAGTTTCCTGTAATTGTACTCATTATTTTATATTATATCCATATCCATTTCCTAAATTACCAAGGAGGATGTGTTGCAGCAATCACAGTTATCTCGTTGGAGTTACTGCCAGAGAGTCTGTCAGGATACATTTTTATGAAAACATTTAGGAAAGAATAAATTCACCAGTTGTCTTATTATGGAGCATCCAGGGTCATTCTTTAGCTCACTTACATGGCCTTGAACCGTATTTAGCCTGCAATGTAATACAGTCTGTTTCTCCTCAACTAAAGTATAATGGGAAATCTAATCATGGCCTCATGTCAAACAATAGGAGTCTGAAAAAAATTAGATTATATCAGCCCCCGCATATTGCACATCACCTCTTCAACTCCATGGAGCCTTGCACAGATGGAGACACCTGCTAATCTAAATGCAAAGCCTGCTCAGAAGTGCTGCCGTACGGCCAAGTGGGGAGTGATACAATTGTCATTACTCTGGCTATCACAATGCTAAATCTTCCTCTGCTGTGACCCCATGGCCTTTGACCATTTAGAGCAGTGGTTGTCAACTGGTATTGGACATCAAGTAACAAAATTAGGGTGACCATACAACCTCTTTTCCCCGGACATGTCCTCTTTTTGGACCTAAAAAAATTCTTGTCCACTTCTTTAAACATTCTAATATTGTATATAATTTTGCCGCATCAGGGAGCTGCTCTCACTATGCGGAGTATTTAAATCTCTTTTGAATGAGCATTCGCGCTGTTCACTTTCACTTTCGATTTCTCGATCACACGCACTCTAGCCTAAAGGGAGCACATCTTACAAGATCAGATATTTGTCAATGAGTTCAGGATCTGTTGAGCAGCAAATACTCCAGCATGTTTTTTTATAAAAAATTGACCCTCTAACATTTGCACTCTCTATTCTATTTCTATTCTAACTACTTGTTTTCTTTTAAAAGAAGAAAGAGCCTTTAACACTAGCATTTTCTATTCTTTCTCTATATTCTTCCTACTTATTTTCTATTTATTATAAATAATGACCTTCTAACACAAGCATTATCTATTATTTTTCTGTTCTATTGACTTGTTGTATTTTTATTTAAAAATGACCCTCTAACACTAGCATCCCCTATTATTTTCTATTCTATCTACTTGTTTTCTTTTTATTTATTATAAAACAAAACAAGCAAACAAACACACACACACACACACACACACACACAAAAAAAACCTGTCCTCTTTTTGGAAAACTAAAATATGGTCACCCTAAACAAAATGTCCTTAAACATCAAAAATGAAATGTATTATTATATATTATATTATATTATATTATATTATACAGTACATTGACTTGTGAAAGATGAATTCTGGGATACAGGAAGCATTTTCCTCCCTTTAAAAAGTTTTTTGTATTTTTTATTTACGGCTGAAAAGTAACATTAATTTAATGTGATTTAATTATACAGAAAGTACCAAGGTAAAAATTAAGGCAATTAATCATTGACTGACAGGACAAAAAGAATTTGCATTTTGCACTGTTTTCCCTGCCTGTGACCCTTTTTAGAAAAATGACTGGTGTAAATGTGTGTGTGTGTGTGTACATGTACTGCTAGACTGAAGTGTGTCTCTCATTACAGGAAACAGGATGGAGGAGAGCCCTGCATTTCTAACACACTAGATCCTTCACTGTTCCAGCCCTCACTGCCTCACTCAACGTTCCTCAAGGTACAGTATCACAAAACTCCTGCCTGCTTGCATGCTGAGCGTCCTCCCATCCTACCAGTCCTTGACTTCTGCTTGCTGAGTCTGTCTCACCTCTCCTGACCCATCTGCTCCATCACTGTGTAGAACTAATACTGATTTGCATGAGGCCATTGTTTGGAGGCATGATTACAGACTTTTCTGTTTGTTATTGATACACATGATTGACATGCCATGCAGTTAAATGAGAGTGATGTAATTAAATGCCAGATGCTATTAATTAACAAATGTCAGGCCGGTTTCTCAGTCACACCCCTTATTCCATGAGACAAACTAATGGCTGTCAAAATTGCACTGATTAAGAAAGGTCATTTATCCACTGACAGTGACTTACAGCTCCAGGGATTCTTCAGCAAGCGGCTCTCATGACCATTAATGGAACAGTTCAAACAAAATTAAAATTTTGATTTTGTTATCATTTATTCACCCTAATGTTGTTCCAAACCTGAATGTCACTGAACACAAAAAGAGACATTTTAGAGAATGTACTCTTTTCCACGCAATTTCAATGATCGGGGGGGGGGGGGGTTCTAACTT